ACTCCACAGGTCCAGAGAGAAGGAGGGGTGAGTCAGCGGACTTAAACTCAGAGGGCAGCCTATTGTGGAGGTTAAAGTGCACGCTCAGAAATCCGGACAGACCTGAGTCAGGCTCCTGACTCTGCCCTCACAGCTATGCAGACATCACTTCCCTGTGTCTCAGGTTCCCCAGTAGGATCATGAGTCATAGGACCTGCCTTCAATGTTGACTGTGAGAATTCAACAAAGTAACGTATATAAAAGCCGCTAGCACAATGCCCAAATCAAATAAACACCTGCTGTTGTTGTTGTTGTTACCACCAGATTGCAGGCCTCCTATGTGTAAGGCGCTACGCTAGATGTTCTTTGGTCCCATGGTCAGAGACTCTGGGGCCAGAAATTGACTCCAAAAATATTAGAGGCTCCACGTAGTATAATTCTGACTATCTACTCATACATAATTCCAGAAAGGAAGAAGAGAGGAAATGATCCAAAGAAATCACTGTGTCTCCAATTAGTTTATATTTTATAAGGATACTTACAAAGGCAGGAAGGAGGAATTTGCAACCAAGAGCAGATACAAAGGAATGGCATGAAATGAATAAAGTCAGGGCGGTAGGAGGCTGGGGCCTGGGACTAATGCATACACAGAACAACAACAAGAACCACTGGGGGTGTCCTCAGAACAAGGAAAAAAACAAGAGAAGGGTTGGCCTACTGCTTGGGACAGATGACGCAGTTAACTTAGAGGTGATAGAGTGCAACGGAATTACTCAACTCCTAGTTTGTTCCCATCTTCTCTATCAAGAAGAACAATCTGCAAGCCAGAAAGGAGAGCAAAAACATGGCCAAGAGGAAATTAAAGTCTGAGATACGAGGAGATAGGAAGAGAGCTCCTGGTCACTGCCGTTAAGTCTCCAGGCTCCGGTGAATTACATCTCAGAGCCATCCATTCATGCACCCAAATACTCACTGCAACAGGGACAGCAAAGTAAATAGCCCTAGTACCCTAAAAGAACATGAATTCTTGATTATGGTATCTGAAAAAAATGGCAATGAGATAATATATGAGAGTTTATGAGGCATGGTAGAACTTCCAGAAACTTGCAGAGAGACAAATGTCTCCATTTTAGTAACAGACACTTTCAGCAAAATTTTAGTAGAGATTAGACACCTCGTGTTGACCCAAGAAGGTGAATACTGGTCACACCAACCTCATCTCTCTCATGGGGTTCCCCGGACACTAACAGTGTGCCACAGGTGTTGTAGAGTTAGGAAATGATAACTACAAGGCCGCGCAATTTCTTCGTGAACCAGGTAGGGAGAAAGGCTCCATGATAGTACAGTTAGGAGAACTCAGAATGGCTCAGCTATAATCCCCAAAGAGGCCTGGAGAACAGGCTTGAATAAATCTGGAGACGAATTTTAGTGGCACTTGACACAGTCTTCAGTGCCTCTCTGTTCAGCTGGCGATCTTGACTTTCAGGACAAGGAAGTTTACTGACATCTGCTGGGAGAAAGACCAGGAGGCAGCCAGTGGGTGGAGGAGGGGTTGAGAGCCCAGCTGTGGAAGCAGGGAGGCTGTGTTTGGATCCCAGCTCCGCTCCTTACTGGTTGTGTGATGTTAAGGAAGGTACGTATACTCCCTGACTCAATTTTCCCATCTAGAAAATGGGGATAATAATTGTACCTACCTCACTTAGATGAGGTAGATTAAACTGGCATGTATAAAAGGACTTAGAAGAGTACCTGATTATAGGAGTTACCTGGCAGACTGCAATGGTGGGACCCTGCAAGATGAAAGCTGGAAAGATAAAATACTGATGATAAATTACAGAAGAATGATGAAGGCAAAGGAGAAAATGAGTCAGGGTAAGGGAGAGGAGATGGTGGAAGCAGAGGCACTCTGGGAAGGTGGTCTCTGAGGGATGGTATCTGACAAGGGACTGAAGTGAGGGGTTGAGCCACGGAGTGCTGGGAAGAGCAAAGGCCCTAAAGCAGGAAAAGGCTGGGGCCGGAAGCTAGTACGTGAGGCGGGAGCCTGGTGGGCGTGCTGCAGAGAAGGAAAATGAGGTTAGAAAGGCCTCATCATACGCAGCCCTGCCAGCCAGGAGAAGCATGGGGGTTCACCTCATATGACATGGGCAGCCATCGAAGGATTGTGAGCAGGAGAGAGTTATGATTTTAAATGGTCACTTTGGCTACTTTTTGAAGAATATGCTGAAGAGGGGTAAGAATGGAATTAGGGAAATCAATTTGGGGGGACAGTAGTCAAATAGTTTTGTGGCATTTCTTAAAAAGATTTTATTCATTTATTTTGCGAGAGAGAGAGAGTAGGAGCGGGAGGAGGGGTAGAGGGAGAGAGAGAGAGAGACTCTCCAGCAGACTCCATGCTGAGCATGGAGCCCCACGTGGGGTTCAATCTCTTGACCCTGAGATCATGACCTGAGCCGAAATCAAGAGTCGGACGCTCAACCGACTAAGCCACACATGCAGTCCAGTTTTGTGGTATTTTAAGAAAGAGATGATGGTGTCTTAGGCTGGGAGAAAATGGTAAAAGGTGGCAGACTCAGAATATATTTTGAACAGTGTGATCCTGATTTTATAAAAAAGAAATACACCCACACGTATACTGGAAAGATACATATGCAGATATTAATAGTGATTATCTCTAGATCACGTTATTCGCGGTGACTTTAATTCCCTTCTTTGTGATTTCTTCTGCATTTTTCAAAGCTTCCCCAACAGACACGTGGTGTTTAAGAAATCGGGGGAGGGGGGGAAGAACATTTTTGGAAAAGAAATCAATTATCCAAGGACAAGCCAAGTGAGGTGAGGATCAGTACAAGCCTAAGACATGTCGAGGATTTGACTAGCAGCAATTTCAATACCTATTGACAGCGTAAATGACTGCAGGTAATAGGACTTAATTTTCATAGGTACCCCCCTCCCTGTGGAAGGTGACTGTCCTTTTCCACGCCGCTTCATTCCAGCCCACCTGGTTTATCATGTGCAGCCCCGAGTACCACAGTCTAGGATCTAAATGAATTAGAGGAGAATACTCTGGATAGGGAGGGGACTTCAAACCATACACTGTAACAAGAGGAGTAGTTACCACCCACTGAGCACCCACTCTGTGTCAGGCACTTTCAAAATGTGAAAGAGTTAAACTAGGAGATGATTTGAATGGAAGGAAAAGGGGGACAAATGAACATATTTTTGAGCCCTAGTGGAGCTACTGCATTAAGCACTTTATCATACTTCATCGCATCTAATCCTTACCATGATCTTCTGAGATAAGTATTATCCCTGATTTAGAGAGCTGAATTGAATTCATGAAAGAATTAAACCCATGAAACTGAATTAGGGAAACAGCACTGCATCACTGGGCTCTGGACCCAGACAGCTAGAGTTCAAGTCCTGACAGCTATACATGCCCTTGGCCATGCTGCTAAGCCTTCCTAAGCTTCAGTTCCCTCAGCTACAAAAGGAGGCTAATCTCTTGGGGTTGCTTGAAGATTAAATTAGTTAATACATTAGAGCACGTAGCACAGTGCCTGGCATATAGTAAGCTCAATAAGCATCAGCTATTACTGTTGAGAAAACATACCTAAGGTCACCCTGTAATTTGGGGAACCAGTAGAGAAGAAAAGAATCTGAGAGGCCTGGGTAATTGCTTTCTAGTGGTGATGGTCTGTCATAGGGAAGAAGAGGGGCTTATACTGACTTCAGGAAGTAGAACCAGATTCAGGGAATGTAAGTGTAACAGGGCGTTGGGTAGAATGCAACCTGAAATTAGTTAGCTACGCAATGCCAGTGACTTTTCTGCCAAGCAGATACCTATCTCTCTCCTTCAGGGAAAAGTCATTAAGTGGTTCTTATGATGCTATAAGAGGCCATGCCCCACAGGTCTAGAGAGAGAACCTAGTAAAGCTTCTTATAGCTTGACAAAGGCTGCATGTCTAATACCCTTTGTTTTTTGGTTTTTTTTTTAAGATTTTATTTGACAGAGAGAGACACAGCGAAAGAAGGAACACAAGCAGAGGGAGTGGGGGAGGGAGAAGCAGGCTTCCCGCTGAGCAGGGAGCCCGATACAGGGCTCGATCCCAGGACCCTGGAATCACGACCTGAGCCGAAGGCAGACGCTTAACGACTGAGCCACCCAGGCGCCCCTCTAATACCCTTTGTTATGCAGAGCTGGTCTCTGATGAGAGGTGGGAAAGCACATGGAGTTCAAGAGTCTCCCTGATGGGTTACGACCGACCCCATAAGAAGCATTCTGGGAGAAAGGGACCCCAAACTCACCATGAGGAAAGGGGCAGGTCTTGGTTACCAGCAGAGAGGCAGGGTAATCCTTGTGGGAGTTGGAGGAGGCTGGTTCGAACACAGGCCATGGCTGAGACTGGAAACCTTCTCGATGTGGGTGTGATTGGAGTACCATGACTGAGCACTATAAACTAAGAGAGCTGTCATCTTGGAGCCCAAGCACATGCACTATGTGGAGGCTCTAGGGCAACAAGGGAATCCCTGCAGCAGTGGGGGAAAATACTCTCTGGAGCCAGTTTACAACAACACTGCAGATCACTCACACCCAAGACTGACCCTTTGGAATGAATTAAGACCAGGGTGTTCTTGGTGTTCTTGGATGTTCAGAAGAGGTGGGAGGTGGTTGGGGCCTTAAGAAAGAAGTTTTGGAATCCCTACTAATGTGAGCAGGAAGGTGTTCTGGCAACTGACTGGGGGGAAAAGGATATTCCTATTCTTTGTAGCGCCCCCTCCCCCAAACTGGTGAAGTATGTTAAATCAGTCATATCCAAGTCGTAAATAAGATTTGATTAAACTCAACATTTAGGACTTTCTAAAAATCAGGATCAATAATAACAGCTCCTATTGATTTGACGCTCATTATATGCCAAACTCTTTACATGTTTTAACTCATTAATCCTCACAAAACCCTCTGAGATGGAGATGATTTTCACCACCATTTTACAGGAAACTGAGGCTGGGAGAAGCTAAAATACCTTGTTCAAGGTCACTCGGTAGACACTGATGGAACAAGAATTAGCTGATGGGGTGCCTGATTGCAGAGCCGATCCTTTTCACCAATGCTTCAATCTACCCCCTGTAAAGATGGAAAGGGAGATGCAAGGCCATGTGGCTATGCCGTTGATGGGATGAGAATAGATGAGTGGGCTACAACAGCCATAAAGTCTTTCCTATGCTGCCACACCGAGATTTTATGCTTCCTTGCAACCTTAAGAATCTGTGGGCTTCATTTATCTCTACAGAATTGCTATAAAAATGAGTTGTTTGTTACAAATGGAAAATAAGCACAGGAACTATGGCTAAGGAATATAAAGATAAACCACATATCGAGACACATTCTAAGTCTGTAGGTCAAATTTCATGACAACGACCTTCAGAGGAGTAGTATTTGTCCATTCAGCAAATATCTATTCCACGTCTTCTGTGCGCTGGGTATATCTCAGGGAGCTGAACAGACGAAGATCCCTACCTTCGTGGATTTTACAGTCTTGTGAGGGGAGGGAAAATAAACAGCAAACCTAATAGCTGAGTAAATTAGATGGTATATTAGAAGGCTTTAAGTACTCGATCACAGTTGCAGCTTTAAATTAGGCTGGCAGGGGAGACCTCTTTGAGAAGGTGACACTGAAGTGAAGGCTAAAAGGAAGAGAGTCAGTCATGTCGGTATCTGAAGGGAAAACACTGGAGGCAGAGGATACACCCAATGCAGAGGCTGGGACAAGAGCCTACCTGAGTGGAGGAGATGCAAGGCGGCCGGTGTGACTGGGGCAGGGTTAGGCGAGGAGTAGGAGGTTAAGGTCCAAACAGTGAGGGAAGGGTGGCAGGTCTGCCAAGCTTTTATAGCAAGTAAGATGAGGAACTGTCATGGGGTTTCAAGTAGAGGAGTGACAGGATCTAACTTGCACTGAATATATTAAAATGCACTGTATTTTATACTGTTTTGACTTGAACATATTCTTTATCATGGAGCTCGATGCTCGGGAGGAGGCATCAGCGTGAGGTATAGAGAACCCCACTGATCTTGTGACTGGACTGGAAGGGGAGGGAGTCGGTGCATTTGAGTAAAAATACTTTTGTCATTTAGTTCAAAGAGCCGCTGGGAGGAATAACTAATAACAATAGTTGTAAAGGTCACTGCAAATAGGAAGGGCTATCAAATGCTAACTACTACTTAAAAATAAAAAGCCTTGGTCCTGGAGTCAAGACCTGGTCCTGGAGTCAAGACCTCTAGCAGCCACGGCCAGCGCAGCCCTTAAAGGACTTCTCCCTTAAACTGTGCCATCTGACAGCCGGGTCTCCCATGTACAGCTCTGATGGAAGGAATGGAGCCGTTTACTCTGTGTACTCAGCAACAGAACACAGGGGTGGATGAACATTTGTTGCAAAAAGAAAATTCTTAAGCAGTGCTTACAAGGCTCCCTGAAAAGCCTCGAGTGTTTAAATGAGTGACATGGGGATAGATGTAAAAAGCTCTTGCAGTGAGTTGTTTACACCAATCCACCGGGTCATGGAAATTTTGCTCGAGATCTGTTTGTGTGGGAACCGCACCGGAATACTAGCTTGCTGGAGCCAGCTTTGAAACCGACACAATGAATAGCTATTGTTCTGACACCGTATCCGGCGGCTCGTGTCTACACACACTGAAGACGACCTTCCTCTTCAGAAATAACTTCCAGCCATTATATGGCTTTTTACATTGTTACCGGTGTACCCGATGTTCTAGATGACCGGGGAAGAGGGAAATTGCATAAGGACATTTCAGATTCTCTCCTAAAAGGATTCCCCAACTTCTCTATTTTGTTCAGTCAGGTCACCCAGTTTACTGCATTCCCAGCGTGATGAGAAATGGTGGAAGACACACAAAGTAAGGGGTGGAGAAGGGAAGTAAATTATTAAACACCTAGGAAGGACCAGGCTCTGTGTTAGGAGATCATTTTATTTCACCATCACAACCCCGTGAAAATAAATACTACCCCCTTTTTTGCAGATGAGGCAACTAAGGCTTAGAGAGATTAAGTAACTTACTTAAATTATTTAACAAGCCTTAGAGCTGGGGTTTGAACCTAATTCTACTGACTACAAATCCTCATGTTCGCCGGCCGCATGGATTTGCCCTCAAGAAGACTGTCATCTAGTGGGCGAGGCAAGACTTAAACACGGAAACCAATAGGAGACAAATACCAGCCGTGCATAATCAGATGCTTAATTCACATGATCGAGCCTCCTGAATTCAGTTCTATACATATGTACAGATACCCACAAAGAGCAAGGCCCTAAGCAAAATACAGGCAGGGACAGTAAAGGAAGCATGATTTTTCTATCAATGACATCTACGCCTCAGATAATCTGAGAGTCTCTGAGAATTCTGAGAATTATCCGAGAATCTCAGATTATCAGAGAAGATAAGCATGAGGTGGTAGGACCAAGGGAGCATTGCCCACCTTTTGATGTGCCTGGGCCCACTCATGTCTTTTCCCTAAAGTTCCAGAGTCTGCAGGATAACAGACTTGGGGTGGGAGGTGTGGGAGGAAAAGCAGTAGGTCCCAAGACACTGAAGACAATGTGAATTAGGGGTCACAGAGAGAGCTAATAGCACCCATGGATCATTATGACCATAAGCCTAAAAGGTGAATGATTACCTGCTAATGTTTCAGGAAATGTTTAGCTTCTAGGATGTCTGCCCAGTTTCTTCCCATCCACTGGTATCCATGGTCCTGTGGGAACAGCAGTTGTGCTTGTTATTAAGCTATAATAAACAGCTCCAAACTCGCCCCTCTTTGCTCCGCCTGGCAGTTGGGGGCCAGGGCTCTGTGCTGCTCTTAGGCTGTGCCAGGGAGGCGTGCTGAATGGAGCCCGCAAGGCCGCAGAGGGAAGAAGGGGCCTGCTCTCTGCTGAGTGCTTGCTGTTTGCTTCCTATTTATCAGCAGCTCCCCAGTCTCAGGGCTTCACCTGGGGAGGCCCATCATTCTGGTAGCAGCAGGTGATTCTAGTTGGCAGGTTTTCCAATACTCACAGAACCAGCCTCGTGATACGTGACCACCCCCCCCCCCCAAATCTTCTACATTTTAAAAATGCTGACCTCTTCCGCTGCTCCTCTAGCCTAGGGGCTGGCGGCTGCTTCCCTCAGTTACCACCATCATGACACCTTAATGTACCCTCTGGCTTTTCTTCAACGCCTAGTTAAGAGTTCTGGGTATTACATTCTCCCTATTAAACTAACCGATCCGATTTCTGACTCCTGACAGGACTCTGACTGATATACAATTATTTTCACTGTTAACTGAAATTAAAGCATATTAGAAAGCTATTTCATATATGCCACAGTCCAATACACATTTAGTTCATCCCTCGTACCCACATGAGGCTGCTAATCTGACCATGTCCCTGCCCGGTTGGAGGTCACGCAATAGCTCCCCACTGCTCACTGCATAAAATCCAAGCTCCTAGCACCAGGCCCTCCACAAGTCTCTACTCCCCCTCCAGACACATCCCTACCATGCCTGTTCAAACCCACCATGCTGTTTTTCACATCCCATACCTTTGCCTAGGTTTTCCTCTGCTTAGAATTTGTCCTTTAAAGTGCAGCTCAGATGTCACCTCTTCCCTGTTTCTACCTCTCCCTCTAGCTGCTGAAGAGTCCCTTCTGAAATACAAATCAAAACCTCAATGAGATATCACCTCACATGGATCAGAATGTCTAAAATTAACAAGTCAGGAAATGACAGATGTTGGTGAGGATGCAGAGAAAGGTGAACCCTCTTACACTGTTGGTGGGAATGCAAGCTGGTGCAGCCACTCTGGAAAACAGTATGGAGGTTCCTCAAAAAGTTAAAAATAGAACTACCCTAGGACCCAGCAATTGCACTACTAGGTATTTATCCAAAGGATACAAAAATGCTGATTCAAAGGGGCACCTGCACCCCAATGTTTATAGCAGCAATGTCCACAATAGCCAAACTATGGAAAGAGCCCAGATGTCCATCGGCAGATGAATGGATAAAGAAGGTGTGGTACATATGCACAATGGAATATTACTCAGCCATCAAAAATAATGAAACCTTGGGGCGCTTGGGTGGCTCAGTTGGTTAAGTGTCTGCCTTTGGCTCAGGTCATGATCCCGGGTTCCTGGGATGGAGTCCCTCATTGGGCTCCCTCCCTGCTCAGCGGGGAGTCTGCTTCTCCCTCTCTTCTCCCCCTGCTTTGTGCTCACTCTCTCTCTCTGTCAAATAAATAAATACAATTAAAAAAAATAGTAATAATGAAATCTTGCCATTTGCAATGATGTGGACAGAACTAGAGGGTATTGTGCTAAGCAAAATAAGTTGGTCAGAGAAAGACAAATACCGTATGATTTTACTCATATGTGGAATTTAAGAAACAAAACAGATGAACATAGGGGAAGGGAAGGAAAAATAAAATAAGATAAAAACAGAGAGGGAGGCAAACCGTAAGAGACTCTTAACTATAGGGAACAAACTGAGGGTTGCTGGAGGGGAGGTGGGTGGGGGATGGGCATTAAGGAGGGCACATGATGTAATGAGCACTGGGTGTTATATACAACTGATGGATCACTAAATTCTACCCCTGAAATTAATAATACACTATATGTTAACTAAATTGAATTTAAATTAAAAAATTAAATTAAAATAAATAAATAAAAAATACTCCCTACTGTGCTTCTTAGTCTTAATGTACTCTTCTATTAGGCCATGAGCTTCTGAAGGCCAAGGAAGACATCATTTTCTATCATTATGTCAGTACCTGGAACAGTACTGGGCACTCAGTAGACCCTTAACAAATATTTGAACTTGAAATTCCCTGTTATGTTTTCATTATCCAAGTTTCTTGCTACCTACTTGAGGCATATAATTACAAAAACAAAACAAAACAAAAAAACACCAAACCCTCAATACTCAAAGAACTTTAAAATTCATTCCTTTCTCTTCTGTTTGGATGGAATCCTCATCCAGATACAAAGCTGTTTGTATATTTTTGTATTAGATAATATCCGTAAAGAGGTAACAACATTATAATTTCCTTAGTTCAGTGCCAAGGAAGGCTGACATCATCTTGAGCTCAAGAGCTGCAGTTAACAAAGGAGTAAAAATGGCCATTCAGGACTTTGGCTAAAAGGAAAGTGGTTCCTCTGACCAGGGCAAGCCAGCACTGTGCTAAGTAATGCTCACAAAAGTCTACTAAAGTCAAATACGTGCAAGAGGTTAAGCGATTTGCCTAACTGAAATCCAGGACTCAGCTCTCCCATGATACCAAACATGGGATGAAGATTGTTACTGCTGGGACGAACTGCTCCAGGCATCCCAGGGTGGCCAGGGGTCCCTCATGGATTTGGCGGTGGAAACACTTCCAAGTTGACCATATCATCAGGGCACAGGATTTTTGCTGTCCCACACCTTGGAAACCATTTCCATCACTGTTGGATAACTATGCATGTACTTTACCACCTTGATGGTTCCTTAAAGTCTGAAAGTACCAAGTGAGGGGCAATAGAAAGCTGTGGGACCCTGGAGGCAAACAGTAGGCAGCATAAATCCAACTCTGATCAAGGCCATTGTGTGCTCAACATTTTGGAGATGGAGCTGGAAAGAAACAAAGGAAAAAAAAAGGCACAGTTCCTCTTTGTTCTATAATCTATCTTTTGATCCTTTAATATGTAGATAATAAGCATCTATTCTTGCATGGAGAAGGAACATGAGTCAGTTTGGTCAGAGATAACTGTACCTCTCTAAGACAGTGTGTTTCACTCACAGAGTTGCTAAGAGAGTTGTATTTTCACACCTGTAGACATCACAAGGATTCAACTGAATCTTACTGAGAATAATTGATTACACTGCCCTACCTCAGGAGTAATTACATCTGTTTGAGTTTCTGTCACTTTATTTTCAGGAATCTCTGCTGAACAATCGCATACCTATTTGTTTTGTTTTGTTTTGTTTTGTTTAATGATTCTAATATTGACATTTTGTGTAAACCTGATTGTGAAAAATCCATTTGAGAAGTGTGGCTTGGTATGGTACTGAGCATAACCTGGAGAATGAAGTTAGTTAACAGAACAAAAAGTTACATTTCCTAATCTAAAGTAATAAATTCAAAGAAACAAGCTAAATCTCTCATATTTTTCCCTTGTGAAGAACACTTCATGTGGGATATGACCTATTTTGAAAAATTCCATAGAAGGACAACAGTTAGATAGTTGGCTGGGTGACTTCCTTTCACCCCTCCCGTCAGGTTCTCTCCCCTCTCCACTCTGAGACCTGCCCCGGGAGGCACAACCCATAGACCATATCCATGGCCTCTTGGGCCTCTTGGCTTCCCACTGGGTTCTGCCAATGGGGAGCTCATAGGAGATGGGCCCTCTGAGAGTTGTTCGTGGTAATCAGAATCTCTGCCTCAGGACTGCTTCGGGTTGACTTAATGCTTAACCTAAGGTCACTTGCCTCAAGGCAGCCTTCTCTATATTACTGCCACACCTCTTCCCTTTACCTGAACCCAGGGTGAGGGTGGTTGTACTGCTTCTAGCCCTGGGTTATTGTGGAACCCCTGGGGTTCCCTCCCCAGCTACCACCCCACCCTCATCTTGGTAAAGTTCCTTATAAGTTGATTTTCAACAGATTATCTTCATTTGGGTATGCCATCTCTTTCCTGCTAGGATCCTGACTGGATAATGTTATACTGCTCAATATGGAGGGGTAGAAACATTCCAGTCTTTTTTTTTTTTTTTAAGATTTTATTTATTTATTTGAGAGAGAGAGCAGGAGGAGGAGGGGAAGAGCAGAGTAAGAGGGGAAAAGCAGACTCCCCACTGAGCAGGGAGCCCGATACGGGACTTGATCCCAGGACCCTGAGATCATGACCTGAGCTGAAGGCAGAAGCCCAACCGACTGAGCCAACCAGGTGCCCAAAACATTCCAGTCTTTTATGGCCAGTCTGCTTTCCAGAGAGTTAGGTAATATGCAGATACTATTCAAAATATTCAACATACTGCCCCAGCAGGGTCCTGGAGACCTTGCTGAACCAGGCATTATCCCTTAAGTTGCTAGATTATAGAAAGGCCTACAGAGTACCCAAGGAGGAGCTGAGGCAGCCAGAGCCAATAGCACTTGGGAGTGTCAGGATAGAGGCTATCGACCAACCAGCGGAACGGGTTAGTGTTTTAACAGCTGGTGCATTCCAGTTAAATGTTAGCCCAGGTAATATGCCTATATTTTCAACTTTAGGTTAGCAAATTTCAACCACAAAGTTCATTTTTATGTTTATTTAACAGACTCTGAAGGGAGAAATGCAGACAAAAAATGAACAGAGAACAGATGTTGCCTTGTACGTATAATGAATGAGCAACAAATTTTGCATTCCCCCACCCTAAGTGAACCAAGAAAAGAACCAATTTTAAGCCTCTGGCAGAATGGGCAGCAAATCGACAAGCTCAACATATGAACCAAATTTCAAAGGTTGCCCAGTGCTACCAGGGATTTTTAGAACTGTAACATTTGCATCAAAGATTGCATCTGTGCTAACCATTTTGCATCTCTTATGACAGTCCTTTTAATCCTGGACTGTGGGGTACCTGGGTGGCTCAGTCGTTAAGCGTCTGCCTTTGGCTCAAGTCATGATCCTGGGGTCCTGGGATCAAGCCCCGCATCGGGCTCCCTGCTCCGCTGGAAGCCTGCTTCTCACTCTCCCACTCCCCCTGCTTGTGTTCCTGCTCTCACTATGTCTCTCTCTGTCAAATAAATAAATAAAATCTTAAAAAAAAAAAAAAAAATCCTGGACTGTGGTTTCTGAATTTGTTTGAGCCTATAAAATAAAGCAGGGTTTGATCCTTGGCCACATACAAGAAGTTTCTTGATTCTTTTTAGAGCTGATCCTGTGTAATATAATAGGTTATTCCTCCTCTGAAACATACTTATATCACATATTTTTATATTTCCTTCTGCTGCTTCTATGGTGACACCATTTACATATCTCCAGTGATTAGTCATGAAAATGGACCATATGTTGTAACACATACTATCTGGGTTTTCAATCCTGTTAGTTTAAGCTGTGGACAATTACATAAATTCCTTTCTTATTTACTGTGTTGCAAATGCTGAATAACTAAGCTATCTCGCTAATGTAGCATCAGGTTAAAGAAAATGAGACACCTAATGATTTTGCCAGAATTTAAAAGGGAATCTTTAGCTACAGATCAATGGTTGGATCTGAAAGAATACCCATCTCAGGAGATAGCATTTCAAATACCATTATTTTTCCTTTGCCCCATTAACAACTGGCAGTAACAGCAGAGAACATAACAGAATTAGGGAGAAATCCATGACATGGAATGTGTGCATACATGTATAAGAGGCCAAAAGATATAGGGCAGATTAAGCTACAGAAGAAAATATTCTGGTGATCATTAACTGTACAGTGCTGGAGGCTAGCCCTGTATTTAGCATGCATGTTGGTATAACTGATATCTATTACAAAATGCATAAATTATACTTCTGTTTAGTCTTCAGTACACAAGGCTAAGTGATCAAGGAAAGTATCCTATCTAGATACAAAGAAAGGTTCTCTGAAGTTTATTGGTTGAGTTTGTGTCCTTATGTGATAGGAGGTTTATAAAATCAAACACTTCTCCTTATT